ACACACACACACACACACACACACACACACACACACACACACACGTTGTGTTCTGAAAAGAAATAATTCTTTTCACCACTGTAATTGCAGTGCGAAATAACAAAACAAACAGCTAACGGAGACCCTGCAAAAATGAATTTAAAATGAGCATACATATTTAAAAAAAACCCCTACTGATTCTTTTATGCTACTTTAGAAATTATGATAACAATCATATTGACAACTTGTGAAACAAACGAGGAATATAATTATATCAGTATCACAAGAAACGAGTGAGGAATATCATCAGTATCACTTGTAATGAAAGGGGGAATATATAATCTCAGTCTCACTTGAAACGAAGGGTGGAATATCATCTCAGCATCACAAGAAACGAACAATGAACTTGATATCACTTATCAGTAATACTTACTCAGTACACCTTCTGTATTTGCCTCATTCAGCACACCGAAAGCAATACATGGCAGGATACAGGCAAAGTAGAGGAAAAATGTGCATGAGACTGTCTTGCCAATGGATTTCTTGTCCGCAACTCCTGTAAGCGTTCACATGTAGGCATTTTGTTTGACGGAGTTGAAAGGAAAAACATTGACATGGCAACGACTGAGTGAATTTAAGACCCACTTTTATGCAATTATACCAATATGGTGTAATGTGTTTTAATTATATTTCTTTACAGAAGTAAGTCTCAGTGGTGGTGCGCCCTGACTTCAAGAACCAAAGTAAACATTAGAAAGCTCCTTGATACACCTATTGAATTTAGAACACATAAAAACATGATCAGACTGGAAAAGATCATTTAGCCGAAGATGTATTCTCTCTGAAATAATATTGTGTAGTAAAATAAAGCAGAACATGTAAAGACATAACTAATAAAAGTCATAGATAAAACCCCCCAAAACATTCAAAGGTAAAGATAGAGAAATAACCAGTCACAAACAGATAAAGAAGTAACCAACGTTGGGGACAGAGAAAGGTCAAACGAATCACAATCCTCCTCCCTCCACCCCCCTCCACCAAAAAACAACAACAACAACAAAGCAAACCCCCCCCAACAACAACAACAACAAAAACAGCAACAAACAAACAATAAAATCTATCCATTACAGGAACAGTAGATAAAGAAACAAACACAAACCAAAAACTTACTAATCACAAACACAAACAAAAAATGACCTGGTGCTCATATGACCTTATGCAGTTGCGAGCGCCGTAAGACCCTCTACTATAAAAAAAAAATTACCAATCAATCAATAAACAATAAAATAACCAATAAAAAATAGAAATCTAAAAAAAGATTTTAAAAAGTGACCAATCATAATAAGGCACAAAAGAACAACTATCTAACCAATCACGAACACAAATGAAAAACTGACGAGTGACAAACATGAATTAAAGCAAACATACAAACCATCAAACAAACAAACAATATCAAACAACTAACCAATCGCAAGCACAGACGAAAAAGTAAGCAATCAAAGACAGAAATTAGGAAGTAACTAGCTACAGACATAATTTACGAACACAAATGAAAACCTAACCAATTACGGGCAAAAATAGAAACTAACTAATCACAAACACAAAGGAAAAACTAACCAATCACAGACACAAAGGAGAAACTAACCAATCACAAACACAAAGGAGAAACTAACCAATCCAGACAAAAGCAGAAACTAAGCAATCACAGACACAAACAGAACAGAAACTAACCAATCACAGACACAAGCAGAAACTAACCAATCAGACACAAAGGAGAAACTAACCAATCACAGACACAAGCAGAAACTAACCAATCATAGACACAAAGTAGAAACTAACCAATCAAAGACACAAACAGAAACCAACCAATCACAGACACAAGCCGAAACTAACCAATCAAATACACAAATTAATAAAGAGCTAACCAATCACAGACACAAAGGAGAAACTAACCAATCACAGACACAAGGGAGAAATCAACCAATCACAGACACAAGCAGAAACTAACCAATCACAGACACAAACAGAACAGAAACTAACCAATCACAGACACTAGCAGAAACTAACCAATCATAAACACAAAGGAGAAACTAACCAATCACAGACACAAGCAGAAACTAACCAATCACAGACGCAAACAGAACAGAAACTAACCAATCAGACACAAAGGAGAAATTAACCGATCACAGACACAAATAAAGAGCCAACCAATCAAGCCACAGAAAGGTCTACTCACCGTCCTTGTAGTCGGAGAAGTAATGAGGCAGGCGCCGTTTGAGATCGTCCCGAATGCCTCGGAGGAAACCACAACGAATTTTCTGTGGATAACACAGAATCGTCTTTAATTTTTGGCATGGTCGTCGCGTCATCATCATCCCCCATATCTACTTACTTCGTCACTTTCATTATCTCCTCCCTCATCCATTGCATTATCAGTATCTTTACTCGCACCATTACCATGTCACTAGCCGCACGATTCAACCGCTAAGTGACAAAATCTTCGAAAGTCACTTTTTGATCCTTTTATGCAGTACAGCCTTTGATACAACTTACGTTAAAATACCGAGTTCGAAAGATTACCGCAAAGTGTTTCAATCCTTCAGTAAGTATTTAACTATTATTGTCATAAGCATTATTATTAATATTATTATTAGTATTATGATTAGTATTATTATCTTATTTATCGATGCAGATCCCTTCGGTGGTTCACCACCGGATCAGTCTTGACTATTGTTCCACTTGACGGTCTCAGCGATCCAGGACTCAAAGGGATAACTTGTTCAAAAGTCGAAAGTCCAAGTCACAATTTGTAACTGAATACTATTATCAGGATTCTCCTTCCAGATCTTTCTACAATTTTCAAAATGCTTTTTCTACTACTGTGAATAACCTCGCGTCTTTTAACGTCCCGCCCAGCCTTTATTTTATT